GACAACTCAGTGCCTTAGATGCAACGGCGTTACCGTGTGGACGGGGGAGATTGCTGCGCCGAATAATATCATCCACACCCCTACTGGACCCATGGTTAGCACTGCTAGCTAGCTGTCCGTACACGTTTGTTGCTGCGGACAGGTTCCTCTCAAGGAACTGAGCCAATTGGCAAAAAGATGGCTCTTGTCGTTCGTATAGGATATTTTCAGCTACTTTTGCCCATTCTCGTTGGAGATGACTGGGTAGTCGCATCACGAGCCGTTTCAGGCTTGTGGAACAATTTAAGTCGGCAATGTAATACATCTGGTTGAGGGCGATCTCGCAGCTATGCATTCCACGTACCGGCTTCCTTAATGCATCCGTGTCTTCAGCGGCAATGGGGCCCCCGGCCATTGTACTGTCAACGGAGCTTTGTGCTCTGTCATGGGCCCGCCCGAACTCCTTGTGAAGAATATCCACTTCTTTCACGAAGCCGTCGCTTTCTGGTAGCAACACACAACATTCTATTGCTGCTTTGGCTTCGCCCGTACAATAGTGAATAAGATACATAAACCGCTGTTATCGTCAACAAGTCTGATGGCGACATTTCACTTGAAAACTCTTCATAAACTTCCAAAATTTACGTAAGATTCCTTCAAATTTGTCTGTTTCTATCTTTGGTAGCGCCATGGTTAAAACAAGAGATGGCAAAGAAGCCATGTCGCGGGTAAATGCACCATTTGGAGCGTTAAGCTCCTGGTTCTGGGCGGTACAGTCCGACTGCAACACATCTTCCGATGAGCAGCCCTGATGCCAGTACAATGGTGAATAAGATGCATAAGCCGCTGTGTATCGTCGACTAGTCTGCTGGCGACGTTCACATGAAAACTCATAATAAACTTCCAAAATTTACGTGGAGTTCCATCGAATTTGTCTGTTTCTATCTTTATTAGCGCCATGGTTGAAATAAGAGATTGCGAAGAAGCCTTGTGGCGGATAACTGCACCATTTAAAGCGTTAAACTCTTGGTTTTGGGCGGTACCATCCGACTGCAGCTCATCTTCAAATGAGTAGCTCTGATGAATTTTCAAACGCAAAATGGTCAGTGCCTTACGTTTAAACTCAATCTTCCTTTAACTAATTTCTAGTTGACGCAAACTCTCTGCTAAGTCCCCCACCAAAACGTCTCTCTGGAGCCCAGCGTCTAAATGCCGCGCAGAAAACCTATTGGATCTAACGCTACCAGCCTTGGTGAACTTTGGTGGGCAATGACATGGGGTTACAAAACATGGACTAATAACTCGGTTCACCTGAGACGTCGACGGCGTTTGATGAGCGTCAACAATGTCCTCAAGAGCCGATCGAGTTTTGGCCCTTTTGCACGACTTGCTTCTTAGATTGTACATCTTCGTTAGAGATGGTCTTCCCGGGGTCCAAAAGGAAATGGTCCAATGAGAGTACTGTAGAATAATTCGACGTATTCAGTAGAACCCAATTGAGTGACGCGCAAAATCACAAGCCAGAAATAGTGGATTCTTGAGATTTATCAAAAGATGCGGTACTATATGTATAGAATACATAACAAAAGGGGTACAAACCTCAAATTATGGGGGTTTCCGTCTAAACTGTTGCACGAAGTAGTACAAGCCCAAAGAAAGCCCGGATAAGATGGCAAATCGATCTTAGTTTGCGACGCACGCCTGGGTACGACACGTGTTAACGCAAATAGGTCAAAAAGCCTGCGTAAATAATGGCCGACCAAACTGGTTCGACAAACCAATGGTTAAAGCTCTTGAGGGGTTAAAAATGTAAATAGAGTCCATGGGATATGCGTAGTAGACAGCAGCAGATAAGAGAAGGGTTTGACTGGGGGAAGAAAGTACAACACTAATAATTGCATGAACACTAACGGATCCCGTATTCGTCATCCAAGTGATCAGCGCATGGACGGCTGAGTATGGGAATCCGGTCTAATGAATTCATGTTAGCCTGGAAACAAGTGCCACTCCTGGCAATATGGCCACCACGAGCCATAGTGTAACAATCACCAGATAACCAGGACATAAATTCTGAGCTTTCTAAGCTATTCCAAAGCTGCTCAACGCATGTGATTTTAGTGGGGTCTGTGCGCATATTCCTTAAAAGCGACACACTGCTATACAATGGCTGCCTAACGCCCAGGTTGAGAGGGAATACCAAAAAACGTGACGTTGATCAAAACCTCCCTGGTTTAATACGGGACTATATCAGTCTGCCGCATCGGGTGGGATTGTATCCACAAAACAAGGACTGTGAGATTCACCACGGCAGACTGATCGAAGAGTGTGAGTAGTCATGAATGGACGTCGGCGGGTTACGGGCTGCTAGGGTGGGTGGAACTGACCAATGTCGTGGTCTGAGGGTTGAGGGTTCGTTTCAGTTAAACCACTTTGTCCCTGCCTGAAATCGATACGTGGACTTCGTAATTCGTTCGTTGCTCTCAGTTGGCCTTCACTACCTTGCACTGAATTGAAAAGCAGAGAGCGAATATCTCCGGCCTCACCGGGTACTTGCAATTTATTAGTTACTTGTCGCTAGAATTGGCCAAACCCTAGTTTTGAAGCGACATTGGTGAGAATACGAAAGTGGGTCCGACGGATTGTGCGGATGTGCCCAGCCTTGATCCAGAAACTAAGAGAGAGGCTTTGGCTGAGAGCTCTTCCTTAACAGTTAGATTGCAACCTGCAACCGACTGTGCAAAAGCTAGAAAAGAAGCAGGCCAGTTTGTGCCGAAATGAAATGTCACTCACCAAGTGTTCCCGTTGTGGGTGGAGTACCGAGCGTCTAGCAGAATCATGGACACCGTTTTCAAGTAAGGGCAACTTTAAAAGACCTCTCGAGACAAACTTTAGTAGATAGCTCCCGTAGACCGGCTTTATTAGAGGATAGGATACCTTCTCGATGGCCATGGGAGGTGTGCACAACTTTCACTCCACTGGAAAGCTAATTAGAAGCCAAAACGTACACGCAGTTGTTGTGGAGCCAATGACAATCAACAGCCGAGTTACGCAAACTGTTGCTACTGGCGATGTGTTCGGTTGTGAGGCTTGTTTCTTGTGAGGTTGGATGGCATGCAGAGGGCACAACGCCGTCAAGTGGATTCGGTACCGCATGAACAGTCTGAAGTTAGCGCGTAACTGCAGCGGGTGTCACAGGCTATCCGTGCGTCTGCGTCCCATTCGAAGGCGATCCCTTGATTAGGCCTTGTTAGCGCCAACCTACCAGTCCGTTCATATATCCGACAACCACAGATACATGTCAGCCCCTGGACTCGCCACAACATGGCACGTGAAAACTCCAGAAAATTTCCCAACGAACCGCACGAACGCAAACATCGATGTTGATACATCAGCGAAGGTTGGTTGCTCATACCAGTACCATCCACAGCACAACCAGTCCTAACGGATCCTGGATCAACCTAGGTGAGAAACCAGCTTCTGGCATGGAATGTTGGTGGCGTCAACTCAAAAGCCGTACCTGGATCTTGAATCCGCGTCTGAGAGAGACAGCGCACATCAATATAAAGTGAGTTTACCGCACATAGCAGAGGAGCATGTATTCCAGCTTGTTTCAGAGTGAAAAGGTTGAAAACTACCAAATGAAGATGCTTTTGAAGTGTGTATTAACGGCAAAGCCACAGCCCATCTCTCGGTCTGAGACCTCTACGCAACATTCCTCGTGAAGAGAACCACCAAAGAGGCACAGCGTTTAATAACGCCCAAAGTGTTGAAGTCGCATTTACAACGTGTCGTCTACAGTGTCTGAGGCGGGCTCATTCTGGACATTTCAATGCCTTCTGTATGCGTCACGTTCAACCGAAATCCGATGGATATTATACCATAATTGGCTGTTGGGCACATATTCGGCCAACCCTGAACCTTCGGGCTGTCGGTTCTTCTGGCCAATCGGGTGAGGGATAGGCTTCTTGGCCGTGGCAGGTCCTAACTGCGTGCCCTAAAGCGGCTAGCACTGCCTCTCGAAGCGGCCTCACTGCCTTAGGAAGCATTGAAGCCCGGGCTGGGCCTCCGACGTAGCAGCCGATGAATTTTCCGCAAGTGCCTAGATCAAAAGTGTCCAGAATCACATCTAGACTCCTCACTTGATCTAGGGGCAGGGTCTGTGCACTGGTTCGTCGAATTTTTTTGTGCCAGATGGACTTGGGTGGATTAAATTGAATCTCGTAGAGCACTTTGCTTCCCGGGCAAAGAATGTCCCGGGATCCATTTGGGGTGTCTGCCGCTGTAGTTGCCAACCCACATTCTCTGGCCTTCGCTGAAGCAGCGCGCGGTTGTGCCGTGATGTCGATTGAACTGTTTCTCCATCCTGGTGTTGCATTTCCTGTGACCGGATAGCCATGCGGTGTTTGAAGCTTGCGTCGGAACAGTGCTTGTGCTGGCAATTCACCAGGCCAATTGGGGTTTAGCGTCGCTCAGTATAACAGCAGTAACATTTGCCAAATTTCCTCCACCGGTCCCTCCCCTTCTGAACTTCGAAGTGCCAGCTTGAGGGTGTCTGAAAAGCGTTCCGCTTGGCCGTTCAACTGTAAGTGAAACGGCGGCGAACGGACATGAGCTACACCATATTTCTGAAAGATTTTTGTGAACGCAGATGACGTGAACTGCCGCCGTTGTAGATACGGTAGTCTCTAGCATTCCAAAGCGACTGAACAATCGTCGGAGCCCGATGACCGTGGGAAAAGCTGTTCATTAGAAGAGCTTCTGACCACATGCTTTAAAAAATCGTTCAGCTGCAACACCCTTTCAGTGCCTAGTTGCCGTGCCAGCCGAAGGAAGCATGAGGGTTGGGATGCTGCTATGTTGCCCAAGCCTAGACAGGGAAAGTCGAGAGGCAGAGGTCGGGTTCAACCACAGACCTTCCGGTCAGTAAATTTGCGTTCTAACCAGTGAGCTTTAAGCGTCAACCACGACCAAAGAGTGTTGGACATCAAAGGGACCTGCCTAGTCGATGTTAAGATGAGTTCATGGTTCGGTCGGCTGCATCCATAACCGTAGGTAGGTTTCCACGGATGAGTCGGATGCTCCATCACACCGCAGGCAAGATTTGATCAACCTGGGAGTCCATCAGGAGCCGGTAGATATAACTCTGAGCAAAGACCTTCGTCCTTTGTTCCCGGGTGCTCTTCATGAAACCGATTCAGAACGGCTGGTTATTACCAGTGTAGAGTGACCGCCTTCCGAAAATAAAGGCCATTCGTCGAGTGGTGATAATACGTCACGCCGGTTGATATACGGTCCTAACCGTCTTGTAGGCAGGTACGTGGCCATTAACGCAGGCGTCACTTAGTGACATGCTGCAGTACAAGGGCGAGATGATCCAAGTGGTTGGAGCGCGAATTTACTGACCGAAAGGTCCGTGGTTCGAACCCGACCCCCGCCTCTCGACTTCCCCTGTCTAGGCTTGGGCAACCTGACAGTATCCCAGCCCTCATGCAACCTTCGGTTAGTATGGCAGCTAGGCACCGGAAGGGTGCTACAGCTGAACGGTCAGTACAAGTGGATGATCCATTCCAGGGGTCGTCTCTCAGAATCGAACCTCGGCACATGAGTGTCTCGAGGATATTCGCTTTGTTGCACTCCCCATTCTCTGTAATAGTGATTTGAGTAGGATTGGACTCGGCAAAAACAGACAACAGTGAACGACTGATTCGGCTGTATGTTGGCCGCAGATTGTTGTCGCACGATACCAACTTCTAAAATAAATAAATTCTTCTATACACATGGTGTCCTCCAACAGCTGACCAGCCATAGATCCAGATTGCTTACATCGCCATCAGTTACAATAACCGGCCGTCGCTCGTTATGGAACAACTGTATAGGTGCGGATCATGCACGCCTCTGCAGTCACATCTGTCTCTGCCTTCCGGGGCCGCATAGGGGGCGGGCAACTGGCTTACCAGCCGAGATGCTGCCTCAAAAATTGAATATTGGACAAAACCGACACTGCTTGAATCCCGGGGAAAATTCCCCGCCGCTTTCGAAGATAATTAGTTCTGACAGCTTATCAGGCGTCACGTGAAACTCATTGTGCGCGCCGACCTGGCTTAAATGAAAGGATAAGGGAGCGTGGAACTCCCTGAGCTTAATTCAACTGACCCGCCCGATCGGTTCCCGGAAACTATCAGTGAGCGAACCTCTAGGGATCAAAGTGGTGCGGCCATCTTCAGGATAGAAGTACACGTCGACCGCTTGGCTGAGCACTTCGAATAGCAATTCTCGTGGCAGGGTATGAGGGAAATCACGAAACGTTTGGGTCCTGTCTGTGCCACTCGCCTTCCAGGATGTGAACCACGTGATCCTCACTGTGCCTGGTTGCCAATCGATGTCGTTGGCGATCTTGTCAGTTTCTATCCAGATTGCCTGAATGAGTATTTGGAGGTATAGGCACCTCGGAATGATTGTAGTAAACTAGCACTAAGTCCCTTCCTCGTCCACCTTTACTCTTTTCCCACAATGAGGCTTTCAAACAAATCATGGTCATACGGCAGCCAGGCGTCGGTGTTGAACACTGGTGTCGTGCTGTTGATGATAATGATGAATTCTCGTGGCCATCTGCTGCCACGCAGCTGGATCCTGAATATGTAGTAGAACTCTGGACGGTGAATCTGGAACGCCCCAAAACATCGGAGGTTTATGAGGTTTTCTCAAGCCACACGGAGCTTTTGGTCCGGATAACTTCCCATCCAAATTGTTCGTCGATAGGATGAAGTTGTAGCGGTCATTCACAAGATCACGCGTCACAAACGCCCAAATCACGCAACAATCCTCATCGCACTTGTAACCTTGACCGACAACATGTACAATACAATCTCCCATCCGTTTTTGTTTACGCGCTACCACCTGCTACCATGCGCCAGGCTGACGAGCTTCAACCACATCAGGTCAAGTTGTATTCATGTTGGTGCAATTATCAAAGACAAATGGACACCCCTCTTTTCACACTGCACATAATAAATGGACATGCAACTCGACCCAAAAACACGCTCGTGCGCACAGGAGCTCCATAAGTCTCCACGAAGAACTACGGACTACGTGTAACGGCTATACTTCGGAGAAGACACCTCCCGCGTCCGGAACTTCACGCAACACCTCCCAACAATTGTCCTCAGGCGATAAGTCACCTTGGCTTATTCTCTCCTCGCATTTTGCACATAACTTTTATACTCAAAATCATTCTGGTAAAACAGAAATTTGTTGGTACTTGTCACCCTCTGATAACCAACCTAATTACGTTACAACCAGATCATTGCAAAGGTTTTCAGGCACACTTTCGGTAGCTAGTTGCCGTGCTACCCGAAGGAATTAATCAGCGCTTGTCTGTTTTATTTGCCTGCATTTGAGAAAAAGGCTGTCCCAGACAACTGGAGAGAATCGGTGGTAGTGCGAATTTTTAAAAAGGAGCCCCTTAATGAGTACGATAACTAAAACGGAGTGAGCTTGGCTCAAGTAGTGACTGTTGACATCACTTATCCTTTATCGCCCTATGGTTGCCCGTAAAGCTTCGACTATAGAACAGTAAGTGGGACTCCGTCTTGGTAGGAGTAGCCGTCAAGTGATAGAATAACGCCATAACTATAAACGATCCACGATTTTGGTATTTGACTCAGTCGACCGATCTACCTTTGACACGCTTGCTCAGCAAGGAGTGTCCTGGAATTTCGCGAACTTGACAAGTTCTTTGTATTCTCAGGACTTTTGGCGTGTAAAACGATACGGGGAGCGCTCCGAAATCTTACGTATGTCAAGTGGTGTCCGACAAGGGAGCCCACTCTCCATTCCTCCTTAATTTCATGATCGACCAGATGATGCAACGAACACTGAAAAGTCCACAAAACTCTGGTATTAAAGTAGCTGCTGACGAAACCCCCTCCGATCTGGAATACGCACGCGATATTGTTGTGGTCTTCAAAGAGAGGCAGGCACAGGCGTTCTTGGATGAATTGGGAGGCGTTTTGTATGATTATGCTCCTGGACATAGAGTCGCTGACACGCCACTTACATGCCACAGAAATCGCCTGAAGTTGTGGAACGTTTACGTGTCTTATAAGTTCTGTACGTTCCGATTGCTCTGCGACATGATCGACCGATGATGAAACGAACACTGAAAAGTCCACAAAACTCTGGTATTAAAGTAGCTGCTGACGAAACCCCCTCCGATCTGGAATACGCACGCGATATTGTTGTGGTCTTCAAAGAGAGGCAGGCACAGGCGTTCTTGGATGAATTGGGAGGCGTTTTGTATGATTATGCTCCTGGACATATAGTCGCTGACACGCCACTTACATGCCACAGAAATCGCCTGAAGTTGTGGAACGTTTACGTGTCTTATAAGTTCTGTACGTTCCGATTGCTCTGCGACAGATGAGGTGAATGCACGAATCTCTGAGCCCTAGGTCATGCTTGTTACCGTCAGACACCTGTGGCGACAAAGCAACATACCTCTGACTCTCAAGGTATGGATAAGGCTACAGTATAGGCTGTTTTGTCTTTTTTGTCTGTGAGTCTTGGTGTCCTCAAGCTGCGGGAATGGGACGTTTTCAGGCATTCGACAGCCGTCGTCTCAGAGCTAGAGTCCGTGTGGGTTGGTGAGGGGACAGATGGCTCGGCGGTTAGAGCTTGAATTTACTGACCGGAAGGCCCGTGGTTCGAACCCGACATTTCGACTTCCCCTGTCAAGCCCTGGGCAAACCGACAGCCCTCGTGCTTCCTTCTGGTGTCATGGAAGTTGGGCACCGAAAGGGTGCTACGGCTAAGCGTGGATTGATGTCGGCGAATCCATAACGGGACACTTGGAAAGCGAGGGTTCGTTTGTGCAGCGGGGACTTCCATCGAAGAATGTGTTTAGCATCAGAAACTGCGTTAGTTAGGTTATATATTGTGCATAATGAACCATCGTTTGCGAAAGAGTTCTGTTTTCGGTGCACAGTTCATAGTAGCGGAAGCAGAAAACTGACCAGCCCTCGATGTGTCAGAGGAGTATGAAAGTGATTACGCAAATTATGGGTGCTGTCGGTTTAACTCGCTTTCTAGGCTGAGGACCGTGTGATCCACACTGCCTACAAGATATGCCTGCTGATCAATGTTGGCAGCGTTCTTCACGTCGATATCTGACCAGATTATGTGAATGAGAGTTCGGAGGTGTGGGCTAGTACTAAATTCTTTCTGCAATTTGCTTTTACTCGTTCCTTCATAATAGAGCTTTTAAATAAATGAATGTACTTTGACAACAAATAATCATAGTTGAGTACAGATATTGTACTATCAATAGGGATGTTGCCAGAAGTGGTATATTGTTCTCCGTTTCTTCCCATACTTACATCAACCACACCACTTCCCTTCCTTTTCCTTATTGTTCTTCACGCTCCACCGCTTACGACGATCGTGCGCAAAGCATGAGAACACAAGGCCGAGCTTATGAAAATTCTGAAGCGGTGCATCTCTGCTGAAACTAAAATACCTCCACGTTAGCAGCTCTCTTTACCGCTTTTCCGTGACCCCGACAATTCCATCAACCGCACTAAATAGTGATTATTGTTCAGCCCTAACACCAATCCGGTGCCTACCTGCCATGCCTCTTGAATGAAGCACGAGGACTGAGATATTGCCAAATTGGTCTAGCCTAGACAGGAGCAGTCGTGATGCAGAGTTTGTGTTCGAATCGCGGACATTTCTGTCAGTAAATTCGTACTTTAACCAAAGCCGTCGAACGCACTACCATTCTTCTTTTTACCATATCCACCAGTGCCGGTTTTAGGTCGCTAACTGTATATCCTAGCCCGCTAATATCAAACCCTTCGCGACTCTCTCACCTCAGAACAATGCTGTTCTACGCCTAGCCTGCAAACATTTCAGCGCCACTTCTTCCTTGCGTGATTATTGCAGTGGCATGAAATTTGACACTAACAAGATTACAATCACTCACGCAAAACAGGAAACTTTACTTGTAACTCCCCAAGGGGATAAAGGGCAGAAGGGAGTGGATGTTGTGCTAACGT